CTAGATTTTATTCAGCATTAGGCTGGGCAGCTCAGAATTGCCCATGGATGAAAAGTGTATTTTATGCAGCTTTTTCTCCATGGCTTGCTGCTGATCTCTTGGAAATYTTGTTGTTGACATGCAAGACAGCAAGCTCAAGGCTTAGTTTGCTTTTTTTAATGTTTGAAAAATTAATTTTTCCTTAATTGTTTTAAGAATTTATGAAACCACCAGGAAAGACATCCCTGCCTGCTCTCCAGCTCTGGCCAAGGACCTGCAGGCTCTGTGTGCCTTCATGCTTCCTTCTAATTCCCCATCCTTGGCTTTTTAGCAGGMAACCTCTCATTTTCCTAGAATCTCCTCTGCCCTCCAATAGTATTAAGGGAAAATGTTTTTATAACCAAAGTTTCTTTTCTGGAATTTGCAAGATGGTTTCATCATCATTTCATGGAAGGGAAGAGAGAAAACCACAGTGATATCTGGAACAAACACAGAATTTTAATGGTGAACTTTTGAGATCAGGTAAACTTTTATGGAAGTAGAAAGATGGCTGTGTATGGAAGATCTGGCACAAAGCCAAATAAAGCAATTATCGTATTCCCTCTGTGAGTTGCACAGATATTGCATCTTTTCATGCATCACTCACAGCTCTCATTACTGATACCACAACATCTAAATTACTCTGAACATCAGCAGGACAAACACCACTTTGTCCAGATGAAGACCTGGGAACTTGTGAGTGGATGTTACAGCTTTCATTTTTACTGTAATACCACACACAGCTTCCAGACTGTTAACCTGATCATGAAAAGTATAGAATAATGAGTGTTCTTGCCTGACTGWCCTATTTCTCTTCCAGAAATGATGCTAATTTGTGCTGGGAGCAAGGGTTACTTCTCATATTCATAATTTCGTGTGCTGCTTTAATGGGAGAGGCAGGCAGACTGCAAAAATGGAGCAATTTCACTGCAGTTAGTTAGGCACTGGCCTCCAGCTGTTGTTCTCACAGCAATGGTTTCCTACAGCTCAGCAATGTGAGGTCAAGTGAAATCATGTTGTATCTGGGGAGAAATGAAAAGGCAGGGGAAGACACAGGGAGTCAGCACAGAAAAAAAAATTGTTTGCAAAATAAAACAAAGCCTCTTGATCCAGGCTGTGTTTTCCTGGGGAGTTCCATGTACTGTCTGGAAAAAAAAGGTGGAAGAACAGGTTATCASGCTGGAGGGCATCTTAAAATTTAAGATTAAGCTCTCACTGCTGTTATGTCAAGGACACTTGAAGGGGTGGTGGCAGGTTCTGAATGGACAAAACTGACTGTGTGCCTGTGRCATGATCTTCTGTGCCTGCTGAGCAGTGATCCACCCCAGGGAGAGCCCTTGGCCAGCGGGGTCATTGCACAGTGTGYAGCTGGGGCTGCACTGGCTCAGGAATCCCCTGACCCTTCACCGAGCTAACAGTGTCTTCCCAGAGGTCATAATCAAAGAAAATATTTTAGTGGATGGGTTCTATCCAAAACCTGGCTGGATCTCTTCATTAAAAATGCAAAGTGTTTTTCTAGTATGCTCTTACTTTCTGTATTCCAGCAAGAAGGTAAAATAAAAACTTTGTCAGATCAAGCATTTCTGTCCTCCATGTGAGTCAGTACTGACTCTGTGGGTCACAAATTAAATCCTCCAGGACGCTGCTCATTCTTGTGCTGACTCCCCCAGGATGGACTTTCCATTATTATTTCCATTAATTAATTAATTAAATTTGCATTATTAATTTAATTCTTTGCATTATTAATTTAATTATTTGCATTAATTAATTTAATACTTGAACCTCCTGTTGCTGACGGTTTATTTGATGTTGCTGCCACTTATTTGATGTTGCAGTGTGATGGGTTTTGCCATCCCATTTCCAAATCCTTGGCTGAACCAGAAGAGTAGGGTTTTTTCCTGAGTAGGGTTTTTTCCTGAGCAGCTCAAGAATATTTAGGATAATGTGCATCTTGAATGAGGTGCTCCAAATACATCCTTAAGTTTATAGAGTTCTGCTCACATCCTATCAGTTCATAGAATAAAAAAAAAATAGTGAGAAGACTTCTCAGTGAAAAAGGTATTGATCTTTTTTTTTCTTTCTCCTTAAAAACKGATGGCTCAGAAACTTGATTTTCTCAGTCAGGCATGGTCAAACAGCTGTTTTGGAATTATTTGACTTCCTTTCTGCTTGTTTCCATTATTTGGACAGAATTAGTGACAGGAAGAGAAGCATGAAAAATGGCTGAATTCTTGTTACCTGGTACCAACAACTTCCGTAAGTTCACTCAGGAATCCTTGGCAGAGATCAAAAAGAGAATTGCTGCCAAAAAGAGCAGCCAAAAAAATACCACAGAGCAGAAACCTGAAGAGAAACCTGAGGAGAAACCTGAGGAGAAACCCCGTCCTCAACTTGACCTGAAAGCTTTCCAAAAGTTACCAGCTCTCTATGGAAGTCCTCCTCCAGACCTCATTGGGGAACCACTGGAGGATCTCGACCCATACTACAAAGATCATAAGGTTAGAACCAACCAAGATGCTTGGATTGAATTTTTAATTAATTAAATTTAATTTATTGTATTGCRAAGAAAAATTTTTGTGGATGACCTATCAAAGAGTTTTGTTTCATCCCTTTGGAGAAGCTCACATCCCCTTCTAGGTTAAAAAAATGGATGCAGTTGGCATAGTGTAGTGATTTGATGTAATTTTTTAAAAAAGCTTTATTTTGAATTTTAGAAATTAATAATAAGAAAGTGATTAACATTTGATTCTGACTGGAAGAAGAAAAAGAAAAATTGATAAAGGAAGAAAAGCGGGGGTTTAGAAAGAGATTATAATACTTAGAAGCTATAACAATTGTGTGCATTTTGTGCAAAATCTTGTACATTTTCTTAAATTCCATAGTTTGGAACAATATGTTTCCAAACATATGTTTCCAAAAAATATGTTTCCAAACTCCATCTCAATGCTTTTGTTCCACTTGCACATGCAATAAATGACACTTAAGCATAAAAAGTATTTTAAAACAATTACTGATAAATCCTCAAAACCTCCTGACTCAAGCTTCATATTTCAGTAGTGACATTTTGAAAAATATTATTTTCAATGACAAACAGAGAAATGGGAACAAATCCATTGGGAAYTATGCTTATTTCTTGGGAGCAAGTTAAAAATTAAACCAATTTCTACAGTCTAAGAGCTTGAGGATCACTGTCAACAATAGTAGATAATTATAAAGTCTGCAGTTCATCCTTGCACCTCTGTATATCTTGACTCAAAGAGGGGATCATTCTATTTTAAGGAAATAATCATGAGCAAGATCATTTCTGTGCATGACTCTTTGCAAATCACAAGATTAAAAAAAGAAGTTTGTGCTATGGAACATTTTACAGCCTGAGAGTTAAAGTTTCATCAGTTTCTCGGAAAAGAATAGCAAAGAAATGCAGCATTTCCGGTTAACCAGGGTAAACTGAAATTCAAGCAGATACAATAGGATATAGCACAAAAGCTTTATTCTGGGTTCAACTTCCTGACTAATTCTTGTTTGTCTATTTTTAAAAGGTTTTTATAGTGCTAAACAAGCAGAAAACAATCTACAGATTTACTGCTACACGTGCCCTGTGGATCTTCAGTCCTTTCCATCCAATACGAAGACGAGCAATTAAAATTTTAATACATTCATATCCTTTTATCGGTTTTRCACACTCTTTTTGATTATAAAACCCTACATAGTCCTAACCTTTCATATTTTAGAGTATTGAATTAATCTGGTGTTTTCCTGTCTACCAGTGGATTAAAATGATGAATTACCTTAGATATTATTAGAGTTTTGGTGTTCTTGTGATAGTTAGAAATAAATAGTTTTGTGAGTATTTGGTTTATTTCACCTGATTTTCTACAGAAAAATTTTGAGCTCTGATATTGGTTTCCTGATGTCTCGCAAACAAGTATCTCATTCTGGAACATTCCCCAGTGAGAAGATTGATAAGATCYCCATCCTCTTTCTCATCTTCTGTTTACCGAAATGTGGGAATTAAATTCAACTCAAAGATGATGAAGCATTGGCCAGTTTTGAGAGGAAGTATTGAGATAGGCAAGAAAACACAGAAAAAAAAACCCCATGCAAACTTAGTTTCTTTGGGAAATGAGATTCAAAAAGTGTACATGTGGTATGTGAAAGTAAATATTTCCAGGAGTGCTGTTGCAGGGAATACCTTTGGAATATAATAATATAATATAGAGAGCACCTTATATATCAAATTTAGGGGATGGGGGTCACAAGTGTAGTGCACCAGTTTGGTACTGGGGAAGGATGCCTGAGCTGCTGCTYGGGGCTGGATCAGCCCCAGAGTGGAGTCTGTGGTGTCCCTGTGTGGATCTCAGATTTCCAACCATCTCCTGGCTCTGTGGTGCTGAGGCAGCTCCAATGGCTCCAAGGTTGTCACCATGGCAGTGTGCAGACATCCCTGGAAGAGCATTGCCTCTCATCTGAGGCTTTCCCTGGGCACAGATTGGCTGACATTGGCATTTCAGCATGAGTGGTCCATGTTGCCCAAGAGTTCCTTGTGGCAGCTGGACCATACCTAGAGCTAAACCAGGATTTTTCTTTTTTTTTTTTTTTTTTTTTTTTTTTTTTTGTGGGGTGGAGAGGATGGGTAATGGCAAAGTGAGGTGTCTTTCCCATAAACTTCTACCTTATGGATTGCCAGAATGTGTGGTATGACACAAGACACAAGCAAAATCTCCAGAGTCATGTGCTTGAGCTCAGGTGTCAGTGCATGAGGTAGCTGCCCAAATTTCTGTTCTTTGGGCCAGCTGATCCCACACAGCAGCTGGGAAGCCCCAGGAGTTGGCTAAACATGGGCATCAAAATATCAAAAATCCATCAATCTATTCGAGAGCATCCAAAGGAGGGCTATGAAAATGGTGAAGGGTCTGGAGGGGAAGCGGTTTGAGGAGCAGCTGAGGGCACTTGGTCTGCTCAGCTAGAGGAGACTGAGGGGAGACCTCATTGTGGTCTTCAGCATCTTCAGAAAGGGCAGTGGAGGGGCAGACACTGATCTTTTCAATCTGCTGACCGGTTACAGACTCGAGCAAACAGCTGGAGCCAAGTCAGGGGAGGTTTAGGTTGGATATYAGGGAAAGGTTCTTCACCCAGAGGGTGGSTGGGCACTGGAATYGGCTCCCAGGGCAGTGGCCACAACACCAGCCTGACAGAATGCAAGAAGCGTTTGGACAATGCAGTCAGGCACAGGGTGTGACTCTTATGATGTCCTAAAAAAGGCCAGGAGTTGGCCTCGATGATCCTTTTGTGTCCCTTCCACCTCAGCATATCCTATAATTCTATCATCTACAGTTGTTTGAGACCCCTGCAAGCATCCTGTCAGACTGTGYGCTGTCCATCAGAAGAGAAGAGCTTTGCCAGGTCAGAGGCAGGTTTAGGTTCCACCTGTGTGATTTTGGCTGTAAAATAAAACTAAAATTGCATCCTTCCTCCAGTCTCACAGTGGCTGAAGGTCTTTTTCCCAGGCTTGCTGTGCTTTGAGCAGCCAATCAATSCAGAAGTCACGAATAACAGCAGCAATGTGCTGTCACCTGACAAGGCTCCAAATCAGTGAACACCTGTGCATGCTGTTCTYACACGAGCTTTAAACAAAACCCCAGATACTGTGTCAGTGACTGATGGAATATTTAGTTGCAGTTCTGAATCCATGTGGTATTCTTTGCCTTCACTCCCGTGACCTACATTATTCACCTGGTTTATCATGTGCACCATTTTAACTAATTGTGTTTTCATGGCTCTGACTGAGTCCGCAAAGACTCAGTCATCTCCAAAGAACGTAAGTGTTGAGTAAGTATCTCTGGGTATGTATACTTTTTATTTATGTTGTTGTATTGAGTTATTGAGACTTGCCACTTTCACTCGAGTTTTTTGGGAGATTTAAAAGGAAAATTACTTGTCTTAAGGATTTTTTAAAAWTTATTTTTTATTTGAGAAGCATTTTTGTCTTTAAACTCAATAATTTTGGAATTATAGGAGAGAGTAAGTGTAGATTGAGTTCCATTGTTGAACTGGCTTCATGTCAGTTTTGTTGCTGCAGTTTTYGCACTTTCTAAGTCACTCAGTAATTATTTGCTCTCTATCAAGAYGGATTTCCCATTGTTGCTGATGCTGATTGAGCACATAGGAGTTGCTGTCTTTTAAAATTCTGGCTATTTATATTGAAATTATGAGTTTTGCACTAATGAAGTCAGAAGCTCTTAGCCTGCAGGGTGCTGTTAGAATGTAAAGCTTTTATGTTCAACATTGCCAACACCTGCAATGTCAAATGACAACAAATCCATGTCTTGTAGGCAGTCTTGAAATGTACAATGTCATGGGTTTGTTGGTTTTGTGTTTTTGCGTTGGTTTTTTTTTTTTTTTTTTTTTTTTTTTTTTTTTTTTTTTTTTTTTTTTTTTTTTTTGACGTGTTTTTTTTTTTTTTTTTTTTTTTTGTTGTTTAGAGAATATTTCAGGTCTCACTTTTTCATCTTGGCTAAAATAGCTAGAATATGAATACTGATAATTCAACACCTAACACAAAGGAGAAAGTTCCCAAGAACTTAGTACTAAAACCAGTTTTAAAATTATTTTTTACTGTCTCATGTTAAATGACACTGAAACAGCTTGGAATGGCAAATCTTCATGCAAGCAGGGACAAAACTCTGCATGGTATTAAAACATATATCTCCAGAAGATTCTGAGGCACTTCTCTGCCTATGAGAGAATTAAAAGTTGGATCAGAATTGTATCTGCTGTTGGCATCAGCTGCCRTTCAAATGCATTTCAAGAATAATTTCAGAACACCTCTTTCCAAATGAAAAGGCAAGCTCTACATCCGTATAATTTCTTAGTGCATTTGCTGACTACCAAATGAAAGCCTTTTGAATTCTGTAGGGATATCGCTGCCTTCTTGAAATTATAAGTGCACTCAGTTAAGTCCAGAAGAGCTTTTACTGATAATTTTGCATTAATAAGAATAATTGCCATCTTAAATTGAAAACCTTCTACTCCTGTATTCCTCTAAGTGTTTAAATATTCTGCACGGAAATGGRTGCTGTGTGCCCAAAGTAAATAACACAGCATATTCACACGTTCACTTGGCCACTTGAAAACAGAGGAAGACACAGATTCTGATCTTTCCTTTAGCTCGTAACTAGGACTTTCATRTTTCTGAGATTATGGGGATTCACTAGAAAAGGTTTGGAAAAAATTGTTRAATGCCCAAAAGTGTGTCAAGGGTTGCACATTAATAGCCATGCCCAGGTTGCAGTCAGCCACTGTCTCCAGCTCCATATGAGCCAGATCCAGATGGAATAAACTGAAATCCAGCAGCAATCCCTTTGTTCTCCCCAGCATTGTCTCAGTTTGCTGGCCCACACATTAAATAGTCTGATTGTGCCTCTTCCTTCAAGTGCTAATACTGCTCTTTCCCTTTGGCACTTTTCTCCCCTCCTCAGATGGATTTTCACTGGCATTTATACTTTTGAATCATTGATAAAAATACTGGCACAAGGATTCCTTCTAGATGAATTCACTTTCCTTCGGGATCCCTGGAACTGGTTGGATTTCACCGTTATCGTCATGGCGTAAGTGGAGACATATAAAATATGGATTACCCACCTTGGCTCTGTGTGCTGGAAGTTCTCATTGCTGTGGTCCCCAAGGTTGTCTGTGGTTTAAAAACTAACACATGGCTCCTAATTTCACCTGAAACTGTCTAGAAAGTTGACTTTTCCCCTTGTTTTAGCTTTCATGGTATTACATTTTAGTCTTTCAAGAAGGGAATAGTGTTGTGCAKATATTCCCCATTAATGGATGTGTTCAGATTGTGAAATGTAAGAGCTGGCCATAAATACAGACTTACTGATCCCACAAATGAAAGTGCAATTAGGGTCATGGGTATAGGCACCAGGACAGTGGATTATATTTGGGCTCCATCTCCAAAAATCTTAGTTTAAGATTAATTTTCTGGCAATCAGCAAGCTTTTATATACTGGTTAAGTGCAGCTACAGAAGGAAAATCAAGCCAGTTCAGCCAGCATTTGCAAATGAATAATTTTGAGTGCCATCTTTGTTTATATATTAAATTGATGATGTTTTAAGATGCTAACACAAAAGTAGATGTGCACAGGCCAGGAGCCACCTCAGATGGAAACTTCAATAATCAAGAAATGTGTTTTGATTTTGCAAGTCTTCAGAAAAAATCCATGATTCGTATGTTTTATAATACCTAAAACAAGCTTGGAAATATTTACATCCAAGAATGACCACTGCAGAATTATTGCCCTGTTAGCTCTGTTCAGCCACTTGACATTTCACACATGGACTTTACAGGTATGTGGGAGCAGTCAATTCGCTGGGGAATGTATCAGTCCTTCGGACTTTCAGGGTTCTGAGAGCTCTAAAAACCATTTCAGTAATCCCAGGTAAGAAATCTTATTTGCTGGATATTTTCTCCCACTTACAATTCATTCTTTGTTTCATTCAAAACGTTGGGCTTTTGCCTTTTCTGTACCTTTCACAGACTTCAGACACAGCTGAAACTGTGGGCACAAAAAGTGTCTCAGTTCACCCATCCCAGTCAGAATAAATCAAATGTTAGAATATTAAATACAGTTTGTTTTCATTATGCTTTTAAAGATACTGTTAGCACCTATAAGTTCAGTTTTACAGAATGTTCTTCTAGCTGGTCTGTGAGCTACGGTTCCACAGAAATAACTGATTTTGACRGGACTTTACTACTAATAATCTTTCATCATTTATCTGTGCCAGGAGAGGGTTCGAGTGGATATTATCTTCATAAATTACCATTGTTGGAAGTATCATTTGAATTATGCATATTACTTTTTGTGGATAAAGAAAACTAGATTATCTGTAGTTCGTAATCTTAGCATGAATATTTTTCAAGGATTAAAGGAACATCTGAAAAATGTGGGGTAAATGAAATGGGGAAAAAAGTACTTTTATTGTATTAGTCCCTCTCATCCCAGCTATACTCATATTGCAAATATATTTGTTATGTGTTTTCCTGTAATTCTTGCCTTTTGGTTTTATATATTATTTTAACTCTAGTCAAGTATAATATCTGAATCTAGGCTTTCATCCTGTTTTTTTTTTTTCCTTTTTGTACTGTGTTTTTAGGACTCAAGATCATTGTAGGAGCCCTTATCCAGTCTGTTAAGAAACTTGCTGATGTGATGATCCTGACTGTTTTCTGCCTGAGTGTCTTTGCCCTCATAGGCCTCCAGCTTTTTAAGGGCAATCTCAGGCAAAAGTGTATCAGGAACACTACAGAGTTTTGTAATAAAACATGGGAAAGTTATAAAAATGATTCAGGTAATTTTTTCTCCTTAATTCTCTTTTAGATGGCAATATAGACACCTATCCATGCATGTATAACCACTGCTGTGTATTATGTTGATGTTTTGATTGATATTTTGATGCGTAGCTACCTGATAAWGGCCTTCTGGTTGCCAGATCAGCTTGCAGGAATCCAGGAACTCACTCTTTCCCTTCATTATAGGAAAAAGCACTCCCAAATTTTCCAGTAATACCCAGATCTGTTTCCCCGAACCACATGACAGTAACTGAAACATGCATTAGCTCATTCTCAGTTGTAATTCCCTAAAGTTCATCTTTTACTACAGGCTGAAGAGCCCGTGCATCTTCATTTTCTTGCCCAATGAGAGCTGCTGTTCAGCTGGAAACAGAGGAATTTGTTGAAAAGTCAAATTACTTACTTCTTGACACCAAATATATCTTATTTTATGTCTTATATAAGATATATACAATATACATCTTTCATGTTTATGCCGTGGTTGAGGCTGGTGATGGAMCCATATAGCGGAAGATCTGAAAATGCATCAAAGCATTCTCAGAGGAAAAACTTCCAGATGCAATTCAGCATAGCAAAGCCTTGTGCTGAAAGAAAAGCCTCAATACAGGTGAAAAAAACAGAGTCAAAACAATCCATGTCAATGCCAGAAATATGAAAAATGCTTTGTCACTGAGGAAGACCTCCCCCAGAGAGTTCACACACCCTGCAGCAGTTGCACAGGGAGAGAAGAAATGTCCCAGGGGAACTGTTGAAATACGTGAAAAGCCTCTCAGGATTGCTGATGGTCCACACTCTGAGTGGGAGATTTGTTCAGGCAGGATTTCTTCACCAACTTCATTGTCCAGGGCACATGATCATAGAAAAGATTTTTGAGGAAAAATTTTTTATTCTTGTTCCTACCAAAAGACCACAAATAAGAAGGAAGTCATTTTACATGCACAGAATGCTGTAAAAATAATAATTAAAAGGAAACATGAAAAKGAACCAGTCAGTGACTAGAATACCATAACAGAGACAATGGATATGACAAAGTTGGCCTAAATGGCTGATTTTCCATGCTGAAGGACAGGAAGCAAAACCATCTACATTTTACTGTTTGTTTAGTGCAGAACACTGCAGCTGTGTAAAGGCAGTGATGCRGAGAAAGCAGAGCTCAAGAAATTAAAAACCTGTGTTGCTTCACAAGCTTTGTGTTGTTCAAACCCTATGCCAAAAGGAATAGGAGACAAAAGAAGCAGGAGAGCCCAGGAAGGTTTAATGCATGGTAGATGACTTTCCCATAGGATTTAGAMTGTACAGCACTGTAAGTCCAGTTTTCTATAAAACTATTGTTATGTATTTTTTATGGACTGCTTTAGTCCTGATTTTGTGGGAAGYTCCCATCTCCAGCATGGAGAACTATATCTTAGTATCATTCTCCAAGTTCAATCTTTAAAAAACTGGCAGGAGTGGAGCTGAGCAAGATTGCAGTGGAAATTAGCCCAGAGAGGGACTCGTTCCTTTACGGAGTATTTCCATGCTATGGTGGAGTTGATATCAGGGTTTCCTGGTGGCTCTGAATCATGCTGGCTTATCTGATGAGCACAGGAGGGGTTTGAGAAGCACCAGGAAGACATGAGACCTCCCTTCTAKCACATCTTAATGGAGATAATTAGCTATTAGACAAAGCTTTTACTTTGATTCTGCTGATAARATTAACTAATGCTGAGAGAAATAGGGGAAGAGTTCAAAAAGGGCACAGCTCCAGCATCCTGATGGATAAATCTGCATTTCTCAGCTAAGCAGGGTTAGGAGCGGCTGTTTGGCTCGGCAGTGGTGGATATTCACACAGCCAAACACTCTTTCCTCAGAACAGGACTTTTCTTTGTATTGCTCAGTGGAAACAGAACTGCTCTATGCTACTCTGAGGGGTATTTGTGCACTGTCCTGGAGAGGGGTAACTGCTATGGGCCAGAACTGTGCCAATTTGTGCCAACATTTACCAAACATTGGRTTGGTTTAACATTTAGATTAGATATTAGGGAGAAGTTCTTTATCCAGAGAGTGGGGAGACCCTGGCACAAGGTGCCCRGAGAAGCTGTGGCTRCCCCTGGATCCCTGCAAGTGTCCAAAGCCACTTGGATGTAGTTTGGAGCAATCTGGGACAGTGGAAGGTGTCCCTGCCCATGGCAGGGGTTGGAACTGGATGGGCTTTAAGGTCCCTTCCAACCCAAAACATTCTTGGACTCTGTGGCTGTGTTTGAGCCTATGCCCTCCTATTCTTCATTTCCTTTATACAGATATAGATGAAGTGATAATATTTAAAARAATTCTGCATTAGGGACTGCCTTCAGTCTGCAATTTGTGCATAATCATACACATAATAAATGAGTCTACAAATGAGGCCAGGACATCCTGCAATCTGGTGCAGTTAATGTGAGCATGGGGAACTTGTGTACTCAAGTTTACAGGTCACTGGTTACTCATGACTACTCATATTAAATGATAGAGGATTCAGGCTTGGAAGTGCTCTGGGTTTAATTTTTTGCCCGCTTTTTTCTTTCTCTTTTTTTTTTTTTTTTTTTTTTTTTTTAAATAGGGGACTCTGTGGATAATTTGCTGTGTGGTCCTGGTGCTGGGTAAGTGCACTTAAAATTATTTCGTCCTTGGAAGTTTTCTCTGCCTCAGTGCTCCTATATTTGCTCAGTCAAGTGAGAAAAAGGCAGAAATCCCAAGCTTTTCTTGAATGCAGAAACAGGAACACAGAAAATAAAGCATAGCAAACAGATAATTTGAGCATGTAGGGAATGAAATATGAAGCTRCAGCTGGCTTTTTCAAGTCTAAATTCCTTTCAGACTTTCCAGAAACACTGTCCTTCTCTTCCCCATGGATGTATGAGAGAAATGAAAATGTGAAAAGTCTGGGGTACAGCATAGGATGGACATTCTCTTGTCTGTGAAGGCTCATGAGTATTAAACTGGAAAAACAAAACATGAATTTTGTAGGGCAGGTTCAGACAAGAAGGGAGGTTTAGGGGGCAGGGGATGAGGATTGGTGATGAGRAAGCTGTCCTGAGGTGATGGTCCTTTCCTGCTGGGTTGCAGGTCCTGCTTTTTCCATYCCCCTTCCAGCCAGGACTACCTAGAGCAGGAATGGGTGTGCAATCTGATGAACTGCAGAGCTGAAACATAATCCAAATTTTGCATTAGCTGTTTTCCTTGAAATCTGCACATTTATAAGAGTTCCACTTTTTGTTGTTAATCCTAGGGTCTGTCCTTCGGGCTACATATGCTGTAAAATTGGGCCAAATCCGGATCATGGTTTCACCAGTTTTGATAGTTTTGGCTGGGCTTTCCTGTCCTTATTCCGCCTGATGACCCAGGACTACTGGGAGCGTCTGTACCGACAGGTACCAGCTTTGAGCACCCTTCAGGACTGGTCTTCACTAGCTGAAGCAGAAAATGTGTAGAGAGGACAAGAAACCTTAAATAAAAGCAATATCTGCAAGTCTTCAAGCCCACAACTTCCCTTCTCCCTTCCCATGAGCTGTGACTCCTCGAAAAGGCATGATGAAATGCTTCCCAGCCCTGTCACCCTGCTGCCTGAAAAAAAGTACTAGAGGGGGGGTCTGTAGTGTCCTTCAGAAATATAAAAAATACCTCCTTGATTGTCCTCATGGGGTGTGCAATCAATAATTCACATATGAGGAAGAAGGAAAAAGATGGGGAAGAAGGGCCAAGGAAAATCTAATTCCATCAATGCTTTCTAAAGCATTTCTAGGAAGCTCAGTGCTTCTAAAGGATTTCAGAGACACGCGGAAAACCTATTTGGTATTTTTGGCAGTAATGTTTATCTCTGGGGTGTGTTGCTTGCAGACCCTCAGAGCTTCTGGGAAGGAGTATGTAGTCTTCTTCATGATGGTCATCTTTCTGGGCTCATTTTATCTAGTCAACTTGATTCTGGCTGTAGTAACCATGGCATATGAGGACCAGAACAAGGCCACCATCGCTGAAACAGAGGCAAAGGAAAGGAAATTTCGGGAAGCCATGGAATTATTGCAGAAGGAGCAAGAGGTAGGTAAATTATTCGCTTGCAAGYACTTGTCTCAGAGTTTTGTTGGTCACATAGAATGGTTTAGGTTAGAAGGGACCTTAAAAATCCTCTCATCCCAACCACCTGCCATGGGCAGGGACACCTTCCACTATCCCAGTTGTTCAAAGCTCCATCCGGACATAAGGAAAAGCATCACTCCCTGTGTACAGCTCATGGAAACAGGAGTAAATGGTAACTTACTGAAATTAGTGATTCCTGGAGTTGCTGAACAATTCCTTGTTTAGCTGGGTATTTTTCCTGCCAAACAATGACTTTTGCTGTGGATAAAGAGCATTAAATGTTGATGTTACTTTAAGAAAACCAGTATTTTAAAATCTGAAAAAATAAAATTCCATCAGCCAGCAGCTTCCAAAAGAAAATAGGGTGGTTTGTTTTGTTTTTTTTTTTTCTTTTTTTTTGTTTTGTCATTTTGGGCTACTGAGCAAAGAAACAGACAGTAATTCTGCTGCTTTAACATAAGAGCCAAAACGTACTGTAGTTGGATGAAAAGTCTCTTGGTAACTCAAATGGCTTAGAAGCTTCTGGAACAAGATACCCCTGTGCTTTTAAAATACCATCCTAAATTCAGCATGGGAAGGGAAGTCATCCACAGTGATATAGTCCCAAGGATCCCAAGTGAAAAAAGGGAATTTTAATCCTGTTTGAGCAGTTGTTTTGGAGAAAGGATATATWCTACTGCATTATTTTCAAACAGAGCCTTTATATTATGAGTGGATTTGCCATATGGAGGAGTAGGAGCTATAATGTGATTATTTTGCCTCTGGCAGGCCCAGTGCATGTAATCATATAACACAATGCAAACAGCAAATTGTTCASTGCTCCATATGTTGGGGAAATTCTCTCCTTTTTCTTTTAACACTATCACATATTGGAAGGTTTTTAATGAGTTTTGTGAAACACAAATTGTTTCCAGGAAATAATAATACAGGATGCGGAATTGTTTTCTTTCTGCTTTTATTCAAAGCACCCAGCAAAAATATCATCCATATTTTTCTTTTAATTTCAGTTATTAGGTATTGAAGGGATTGATATCCTGTCACTTAGCTCTGTTGAAGCTTCTTCTCCGTCTGCCAAAGAAATCAAAGAAAGGAGCAACAGAAAAAAGAGAAAGAAGTCTTCGGGGATAGAAGATAATGAAGAAGAATTCCCCAAGTCACAGCACCCAGACAGTCAACAAAAGTTGGTAATCTATTGTCTGAATCTGAGATCCTAATGACTTTTCTAATTTTAATTTAAAATTAATTAATTGAAAGCTTAAARTAACTCCCACTAAAAACACTCTTAAGTTTTTAAAATAAACAATTTTTTGGATAAAGGAAAATTAGGTGCAAAAATTAATAAGAAAAGGATGTATTTAAATAAAGGATGAAAGTTACAGTACTTAAATTTTCTGTTATACTGAGAAATAAAAAGAAGTGAATGACTATCAGAACTTAGCTTACCGTCATTCTCTATTAAATATTTCATACATAAAATGTAAGTATAAAGTTTATCTCAAAAATACCTGGCACAGCTCATGAAATTTTATTATCTGCCTTTTAAATCTAAACATTATCCTTCCTAAAAAAATSTAAATCATGTATGAGTTTTGGACTTGCGATGGTTGACAGCAAATGTTCTGAAGCTCTAACGATTTACAGTTTCCCCAGGTTTCCTCTGTGATATTATCTGTTCTCTCTTTCAGTCCCTCCTTGGCCTGGTGTACGGCCCCAACGCCCGGCAGGCGAAGCGCAGGCTGAGCCACGGGAACGTGTTCAACTTCCAAATCCCTGCCCTGGAAGCGGGGTCCAGAGCGGATTTGGGTGATGAGGAGCCCCACGGCACCGGGGGACACAAAGCCCGGTGCTACTCCCTGCCGGGGACGCAGACGGGACCACGCTCCAGCCTGCAGAGCCAAAGGGGCCACAGCTCCCACCCCGCCACCCCAAACTGCCTGAAGAGCAAGTGGGGCACTGGGGATGACCACCTTGGGGGAGGATTGGGAGTGGGAGTGGGGAGCAGCAGGCGCCCCAGCCAAGATCCAGTGTGCTCTGAAGGAGTCGTGCTTCCAACGGTCATGGAAGACTCGGGAAATGGGAATCCAGTAAGGGAAAAGATATTATTTTAAATATACGCTTCATACCATGCTTTATTGATCAGTGACGGGATTTTTATTTTTGTCTTAGGAGTTTCGGTGTGAACGCAAACAGTGACATGAAGTGATATATTCTGATGTGAAGAGTTTTTAAGCTGTCAGTTGAAACTGGTTTTTAATAGTCTGATAATTGCAGAAAACTAGACTTTGGCATTCCTGTTTAAACCTTATGTTTCTGCTATGCACTGATTGTACCAACATAATTTTAAAAGTTCCTAGTGCCGAAATTGCAAGTCACCAAAGTGTCTTTTTATCCCAAAACCTGTCGAGGAAGGGTAATTTTGAATACTGCCTGTGATTTTTTTTTTTTTTTTTACTTTTTCATAGCTCCTTTAGCATCATGCAACAGTTTTGCTTGTAACCTCCCCAATTTATCCCTCACCTCTCCCCTATTCCATTAGTCCTTTAAATAATTCCTAAACCTATTTTCCCTCACACACTCATTTCCAGCGCAGTGCTTGCCCCACATTACATGCTCGCAGGATCCATTCACTGCAGCCCCATTACAGAGTAGGACTTCATTCTCACCATTCATTACATCTTGTAAAAAGGTACATTTATGCACGTTGTTGTTCCTATTAACTCTCACAGTGACCCATCATCACATCCTGGTCCATTTCACTCCCCTGGTGTCTCCCTAATCGTGTTTATTTCTCCAAGCAGCCGGCTGTGCACGATGAGAGCAGCAGGATGCGTTTATCCCCTCCTCTGTCAGTGGAGTACTTTAATGAGGCTCTTCAGAGACAAAGGGCAGCAAGTGTAGTCAGCATAATTACCAGTGTCTTGGAGGGTAAGTGGTTCCTCATTAAGTTTATTTCAACCCGAAAGTAATGCTGTCATGGAAGAATAAAATGTGTTTGTGAAGGGTTGGTAAAGATTTGTAGGCGTGTAGTTAGGATTTTCATTGATAATTGGGACTTTTTTTGGAAAAAATGTGTTGTCACACGGTCTTTATGTACTGGAACACATTTTTTTGCATATTGTAAAAACTCATTTTGTAGGACAGACAGTGAAGAGGGTTGGGGTGAGAGTGGGTGGAAGGAGCTGCTGATCATCTGACCTGCAGGACYGGGACACTTTTCTCCTCCTGATCCTGGGATTTCTGCTGTGCTGGTGGCAGAGACAGAGGCATGCAGAATTCAACAATTAATAGCATTGAGCAAGTAAAATTAGTTGTGGTAATTCCTGCATTTTGAATACTTTACCTCACAATTTTATTCCTTTAACTTTTTTTTTCCATGTGAGTTTTAGGTGGGGGCTAATCAGTGACAGTTATTTTGATGACTGATATTTTTCTTGCAGACCTTCTGAAAAATTTCAGTCGAAGCTGAACTTCTGGATTATGAACTTCTGTTTTCTTTTGGCCCTTTTGAGGAGCTCTACTAACAGGTCTTAGACAGCAAGTATGGGATTTAGTAGGGGCTATCATTGTGGCAGGGAGATTCCTTTTCTTAACCATTGAAAATATTTTWTTCTTGGGAGAGTCACAGTTGCAACACATCCAGTTGAGTTTTACATTGCAGTGTAATTCATCAAAGATCTGGGTTTTGTTGCACAGTTTCAGATATGGACTRGGGTGGAAAATGATCTGTAGCTCTAGTGGAAGATAAGAGCTAAACTTGGACTGAGGGTTAGGTCAAAAAGATTGTTCAGGAAAAAGTGGTGTAGGGTGCAATCTGGTACTTGAGCCTGGGGGAGAAGAACTGAAAATTAAACAGAGAGAAGAAATAAGGACAATTCCAATTAAGAAAAGGGTGTGAGTCAGATCCAGCTCTCTGAAAAGCTTCTCTGAAAKGAGGTCCTTTAAAACCAGATGAGTAATTCCTACTGTGCTTGTGTTTAATTTTAAGATTGCTCCAGCTGGTCAATGAATTTGCACAGGACTTAAGCTGGGTCAAAGGTGTTTTGAAGGACTTTTTAATATTGATGATGAAGAAAGAATAGCTATGAGATTTAGACTTGATTAAAAAGATGCAAATGACAAAGACAAAAGAGCTTCTGTCTCAAGTTTTACTCACAGAAAATGGAGATGCRTGGAACTTGCATCGTCTGGGAAATGCCAGGTGTGACCCTTCCCACAGAAATGGCCAAAAGACAAATTTCAGAAAGTCTGGATTTGCCAGAGTCAGAATTCCTGGGACTGTCATGGATTCTTTAAACTGCCTTGACAGTCAAGGGAGACAAAAGTTGTTGTGTGTGACACAGCTGTGGTCCCAGACTCCTACTGAGGACACGGTGGGAAGTGCCCCAGCTGCTCTATTGTCCTGGAAGAGTTTGAGAAGCTGTAGTGAGGTTCTGCATCACAAATATCTCCATTGTCAGAGCAGGATAGTACCAGTCTGAGACCAATAAAACCCCATTCCAAAGGCTTTTGGAGGCAGTGCTCAGGAAAGAATTCAGCATCCAATTTTCTCTGAATTTTTACCTTTGTATTTATCAGCTGATGTAGGGACCAAACAAACGGTAAAAAGTGGAGGGAAGTTTCAGGCTCTGTGTGACATGAGAGGTTTGCTTTTCCTTCTGAAGTCTTTTGAATGCTTGAAGGTGTTTTTTACCACCTTGCTCAGTGATAACTAATGATAGAATGTTTTGCATTTAGAACGTGAAGGAGCCCAGCAGAAATGCCCACCACGCCTGAAGAACTTTGCTTTAAAGTACCTAATTTGGGACTGTTGTCCACTTTGGTGGAGAATCAAGGGAAAAGTGGCTGCTTTCATAAAGGATCCTTTTTTTGATCTCACCATCACGGTCTGCATTGTGATGAACACTTTGTTCATGGCACTGGAGCACAATAATATGTCATCTACTTTTAAATTAATGCTTAAAATAGGCAACTTGGTAAGCAAGTTCTCAGCCATGCGGCATYTTATAGGTTTAATTATTTGGTTGATGTGTGTTTTCACTTGAAATATAGAGAGTAACAATGAATTAGAAATCAGCGAATTCTACATTTATAAACTTTTGTTTCTAATATAGATGATTCCCAGATTTTTTATACATTTTGAGATGCTTCTGAGAAGGCAGAAAACAATCATTCTATATTAATTAAAGGTGCTTTAGGACTTCATAAAAATGAGTGTTATTAACCTGTCCACGAATGTTTGATGAAACATGACCTAGAGATAAGATAAAGTCATGGTTACTTTCAGGCTAATGCTACTCTTTCTTTGTCACAGGTTTTTACAGGAATCTTCACTGCAGAAATGATCTTAAAAATCATCGCTCTAGATCCCTATTATTATTTTCAACAGCCCTGGAATATTTTTGACAGTGTCATTGTCACATTGAGTTTAATTGAACTGAGTTACCCCAGACAAAAAGGCGGGCAAAAAAAGCAAAAAGGAGGAACCCTGTCAGTTTTACGATCCTTCAGACTGGTAATGCTTCACGCATGCTCAGTAGTATGAAACTTTATCTAGTGAAATTAATGGAGAATACTTCTGTAGTTAGGAGGCAAGAAATTATTTTTCCCCCAATTATTTTTTCCCTCATCTTGGCTTTAAGAATAAGAAATACACTCAAACCCCTTTTGTCAGAGTTCAATGATAAATATATTCGTTTTGAATACACTAAGAAATATTGAAAGGAACATATGTTCCAGAGTGGGCATGTTATAAAACTGATGTAAATAGTTAAAAACAATGAATTAGGAAAAAATTGTCAGGGTACAAACAGAGATAAACAATATTTAAAGAGAGATGTGAAATGATATTAAGGTATCCATATATACCGGGGACTGATTTAAGTTGCTTTACCAAAAAAACAGACTCTTTTCTTAATATTACAGCAGCAGCCCCTGAATGTTTTGTCCTTTATATTACTTGTAAATTAAGCTCCCTATTCTGCATCAAGAGCATTGCATGGACACCTGCCTGTGTGGGCCAAGCATTTATCTGGGGCCCAAGTTAGTCTCATCCTTTATGGGGTGGTTAGTTTATGTTTGCAATACTGCCCAGTCAAAAGAAAAAATATCTATAAATACATTTAAAAATACTAATGCTACAGTGTCAGAAATATTGCATTACCAGAATAATTCAGAATATCAGTGATTTGGTTATTGTAGGATTTGCATGGTGCAAAGATGAGTTATCTCTACCGATGTCTAACACTGTGTTTTATGTTGCTACACAGCTGAGGGTCTTCAAACTGGCAAAGTCCTGGCCAACTTTAAACACTCTAATTAAAATAATTTGTAACTCCCTGGGAGCACTGAGTAATCTGACCCTCGTCCTGGCAATCATCGTTTTCATTTTTGCTGTAGTAGGGGTGCAAATTTTTGGGAAAAAGTACTTAGACAACTGCCGTGCACTAAGCAAAGTCTGCTTGGAACCACGCTGGCACATGATGGACTTTTTCCATTCATTCCTCATCATTTTCCGAATTCTGTGTGGCGAATGGATTGAGACCATGTGGGACTGCATGGTGGTTGCTGAACCACCACTGTGTATTTTTGTCTTTCTGATGGTCATGGTGATAGGAAATTTAGTGGTAAGTTTTCCAATATTTTCTTCCCTTCATCATGTCTATGCAGACTCTAGTTAATGGCTGTCCTATCAGCAAAAGGTAGCTTCCCTAAAAACAGGTGGAAAAGTTACCGATGTGTGTTAGTGTCTGCAAAATCCACTTTTTCTTTTCACCGTAGAGCCACTGTCTGTATTTCCCATTTTGTGTGCTTTGCACGTGTCCTTACTTACCTTTTCATGAGGCAATGTGACAAGGAATATCTCTGTAGTAAATACAATACAGGCAGCTATGTTGCTTCACATCTTGAGATTTGGAAGTAAATAATCAGTGAGGCTTACCTGCTTGAATTAATTTAGMCAAGTGCTTGAGTTCCACTATAAAACAATTTTATTTACTTTTTTAAGATCCCATGCAAGTCCTGAATTCTTTACTGGCAAGTGGCAGAACCTGCACTGCTACTGCTAAAATCAGGATTTTCTTTCGTAATCTCTAAGTACATTTATATGCAAGAGCTGGATCCTGTTTTGGTATAACCTCAGTACTCTCACATTGTGCTGGGATTTGAGGGACAGCCTGTCTTCCTGGTCCTGTTCTGCCCTGCATTAATGCCCAAATAATGGATATCTTCTTTTAGTAACTTTTTTTTCACATCTTTCTTAGTATCATTTATATACCAAACTTCTCTTAATTGTAAAAACAATGCTGAACAGAATTAACTTTAGGCAGAGCTTTATGGCAAATATCTGTTCTGTGGCTGAATCCCAAATATATATTTAATGTCCTGCCTGTTCCACACTGATTTATTTCAGTGGTGAAGTGTTGTGAGTGATTATTCATATTTGTCAAGTAATGAAGTGTTTAGTGTGCATTCTTTTACCAGGCTTTCTTATGGTCCAAGGAAACAGAGAGGTGTCTGGGAGTGAGATTTATTCCAGCCTGAGGTCAATAACTGAGACAGATGGGAAGAATTGATCTCTGGAGGGCTGATATTTTCCACTGCCTGTGGTCCTTGTGTAGCTAAGGGGTGTTATCTGCCCAGTTCTGCCATGATAAAAGTTAAGTTATGTCCCAATCCAAAATATTAGTGAAAAACTTAAATTCTCACATTTCCTTAAAAGCAAACAAACAAAAAACTAACTGAGGTTTGTAAATTCCTCCATTTAAATGTACTCCAAAGTGGGAATTTTGAACTTGTCTTGGTTTTGATTTTTGTGTGGCAGATTTGATGGAATTTCTGGGCCTGAATCTGATCTCACAGAATTTTGGAAGTAACACCACAGAGGCCTCATTTAATTCTGATTTCAAGAATGAAGAGACATTTATTAAACAGACAAGCTGTGACCACAGTCTGTGTTACCACTTTAACCTCTGAGAATTTGCTTTGGCCAAATAATGCATTTGACACACACAGATCTGTTTTCTTGGTATATTAAATAACTTTTTTTGGGCAGAGGTCCATGGGAACATTGACATTTCTGAGAGAGAAGTTGATTTCATCAACCACAGTGTGATCATCATTGTCATTTCCTTATCACCTTGTTTTGGTTTGCTCATTAAGACTGAGCTTTGCTCTTCAAAATTCGAATTCAGATTTTTGAAGGCTGCTCTCCAGACTTCTAATTTTTTTATCATTTTGACTGCTCTCAGGTTCTAAACCTTTTCATTGCACTGCTGCTGAGCTCTTTCAGTACTGACAATCTCCAGACAGCAGAGGATGATGGAGAAATGAACAACCTTCGGATCGCCTTCGCGCGGATCCGCAAGGGATTCCGCGCTGCCAAGAGCRTGACGTGGGATGCCTGTTGTAGAAAGCTCAGGCACATAAAGAAAATGCAGAGGAAGAAAATCAATCAGACTGCACAGAACTCACTGGGGTTCAAGCGTGAAGAAACAAAAAGTCGTAAAGAGAATTACAAAAATGAATGGATTGAGAGAAATGGGGACAAATGCCCAGGTTTTGAAGATTTCATTAGCAACCCCAATATATTTGTTTGTGTCCCGATTGCTGAGGCAGAGAACACAAGTGAGGGTTTTGAAGATGATGATAAACAGAGCACATTTACAAACTCAGAATACAGCAAAAAGGTAATGGATTTCTTTATTTGTGTTGGAACAGTAGAATTGTGGAGAGAGATRGAGAGATGCGTGGGAGAAGATGGTCTCCAGCAGAACAGGGAGGGATATGTCAACCAATTTCCAGAAAGTTACAAAGCTTTGAACTAGAACCAAAAGTGAAAATGCTTAGAGCAAGGGTAAAAATCACTTGGAGCCTTTTCAAATTAAGATTCTTTCATGGTTTTAAAAGAAAATTGTTGCAGGAACATTGCAGCTGACCTGTTGTGGTGCACACAGATAATTGTGGCAGTCTTAGGCCAACTTGGATGTTTCATGTAATTATTTATGTGAATAATGTCAGCTGTTTTGAAATTATTTGCACAAAAGAGCAAAAGTATATGTTCTCCATACAGAACATTATCATGGATTCAGAATATGAATTTATAGCTCTGATCCTTGCTTTTTAATTTGTCTTTGCTGTATGTAGTACGTGGTAATTATTACAAGTGGATAGGATTAAGTATGGAGTGGCTCTATAAAAGACATATTTTTGATATGACAGTGTATATTATCCTCTTTCCTTGTGGTCTATGAATTTTTTAGTTCTGTTTTAATCATACTCATCCTTCGGCTATCCAGGTTTCCCACCTTAAGTTTCTGTCTTAATTCCTATGCAAAAATTCTCACATTTTGAATAGATCGCTAAAATTCCTTAATTTTCTGCATGTCTTTTGGGAAAAAGTTCTATCCTTAGGTCAGAGATGAAAAATGATCCCTTTTTATGGCTCTTGTCTGGTGATTCCCACTTTATATGAAATTTGTTTTTTCTCTCTGACTTGTACACCCTCTAAAAAGGCAAAAGAAAACCCATTTAATCCACAGATTAATTTCAGGATGAAAATCACCTGAGGCAAAGAGGAGACAGAGCAAAAAATTCAGGCAGCTGGAGTAATGGATCAGGATTTACCTCTGAGGAATTCAGTGTGCTTTCTCTAGGAGAGGACAGGATGGGTGAATTGTCATCACCAGAAGGAAAAGAGGTAATTTTTTTTTTTAAGTGATGTTGACTTTCTAATACAGGTCAAACACAGGCATATTGCTCTTCAGAGATTCASCAGTATGCCAGAAGCAGCTCTGAACCTGCAGTAGCTGATCTGGCTGGACCAGAGCCAATACTGGAGCTAGAATTCTGTGAGCAAAATCAAAGCTGTGCTGAGTTTCCCAGCATATATTTGAGACAAAAATATAACTGTAGGAAAGAGAGCATGTAGAAATGGGAGAACTGTTATGTAAGTTTTGTACTAATTACAAATAATTTATAAAATACCCTCTGCTACTTTCCATTTATTAAATTTTGACTCCACAAAAAAAAAAAAAAAAAAAAAAAAGAAGAGGATAAAAAAAATTTTAAAAAGGATTAAAGAGAGATAAGCTTCCATGTGGGAAATTTCAAGTCTGTCTGTGCCCTAAGTAGCTTGGTTTCAAGAAATATAATGCTTGAAATGAGTTTCCCTGAATGTCACTTAAGATGGTAGTTACTGATTTACAGTATTTTTAAAATAATTTTGAATATAGAATACATTCAAAGAAGTGAAAAACAGCATTATGGACACATGAAGAAACAAAAGCATAGAGTAAGTAATCCCTAACAAATTGATGACTCAAAAAAATTGTCTGTGCTGCAATGGGGTAGCAAAAAGCTTTGTAACTGAAGAATATATGGTATGATTCCAATTTCTACTTTATAAAATCTGTCATGGCTGCTCAGTTTCTGGCATGACAACAGATATATTTATCTGGTTCTCCTGTGTGAATGCATCTTTGCCTCATTTCATGGTTTTACACCAAGTAATGTGTCCTGTTTTGCAGAATGCATACACTAATATGCAATTTAAAAGCTCTTAAATTTTACAGCTGATGAGTCAGGTGCATCTGGTTCATGTAGACAGATATTGTAATTGCAGAGTTTTAGCCTCTATTTGAATACACCTATTGGTACTTCAAAGATTACATCTTTTACAGTCACAAACTTAATTCCATTATCAACGTTATCTGTAGTATTAGTACATAACCAAGCTTTAATTTTGAGTCTTGTTTGTTCTTGGATTAATTTATTAATTTGGACCTGAATTAGAAAGCATCATTAACTGATGTTACTGTGCTCATTAGCGGGACAGTGTCATCTCTTCTGCAGTCAGCACAGTGGATCTGACAAATCCTGAAGATGTTTTGAGGCAGATTCCAGAATTTTCTGAAGACTTCAAAACTCCAGAAGAATGTTTTCCAGAAGGTAAAACTCTCATGGTTTCACTGCTGGGAAGTGAGAAAAATAAAGTCAACTTGTTTCTCTAGTGACAGCGAGTCAATAAGATTAAATTCTTTTCAGTTAATTTTAGTTATCTGGAAATAAGMTAAAAAGTCCAAATCATTGTCCCTCTCCAGTCAACACAGAGACTGAGACATCTGAAAAATAAACACCCTTCCCCTAAAAGCCAATTGCTTCCAACTGGGGCAGAGACCCCATTCCAAAAAGTGGGATTATTACAGTGAAGCGAGATGAATTTCTTGCTATTGGACAGCAACCAAGTCGTTCTGGGGGTTTAACACAAGAGAAGTGTGTGTGATCAGGTCTCACGTGGTAGTGGTCACTTGGCACAGCAGATTTATTTACAATTTGCAGCAGTAAAAATATTCTTTGAATAGAATTTGCAGCAGTAAAAATATTCTTTGAATAGAATTTCATGAACAACCTCTGTAACAAACAAAGGAGTGAAATAAGTGAAAGAAGCTGCTAGGATGAACTGAATTTCAATAGGGTGATGATCAGGGAATCATAGAAYGACTTGGATTTGAAAGGACCTTGAAAACAATCCAATAATCTGAGAATCTCTTTTCTAATTTTCCCATGGCCTTGAAGTTTTGTGTGCCCCAGCATGAGGTCAGTGAGAGCCTGTCCAGTGCCTCAGAAATATCTTAAAATAATGGAAAGTTGTCCAAAGAGTCTCCACCTACTGTGTGTATAAATAGGAGCCACAAGACAAATTGAACAAGGTGTTTATTTCTTTTTCCTGTTGGAAAAACAGGGAAAACCAACAACAATGACACAATTACAGTGACCATTTTTAGTGACTTTTTCCTGTCCCCAGAAGCTTCTTGGCCATGCTTTCACATTCGTGTCCATTCCTTCCACGCACTCATTGCCATCTGTCTTTCAGGTTGTGTTCGGCACTTTCATTGTTGCTTGGATAGAGCTGTAAAATTTGGAGGAGAAACCTGGTGGGATCTGAGAAAAACCTGCTACCAGATTGTTGAACATTCTTGGTTTGAATCCTTCATCATATTCATGATTCTTCTGAGCAGCGGAGCCCTGGTTGGTGTAGCACAGTTTTGGTGTATCTATTATGAAGTATTTTTGGCTTTAATTTGCACCCAGAGAAGTTGTTTTTAGCAGCAAGCACAGTGAATATTTTTGAACTCGTAAGGAGGAGAGTCTTCAAATAGCAGTCATTTATTCACCATTTTAATTATTTTAAATCTATTATTATTCTATTATAATTATTATTAATTATAAGAGAGCATGAGCAAAGCTAAGAATATATAAATCTCAGAAGCTGCTTCTGTTCTGCCTGTATACTGGATTATTCTCAGTAAGTTATGTCACAATTGGGAAATATTAAGGAGATTTTATACCATTGAAACAAATAAGTGACTCTTTATACTTGGAAAAAAAAAATGCTCAGCTCTCTTCAATATATAAACTTTATTCTATAAAAATTTCTAAAATTATATACTGTCCTCCTAGGATTTCATTGTGCAGGAAGGATGCATCCAAAGGGCTGTTCTATATAGAGAAAAAGAAAGAGATGGGAGAGGGCAAATGATACTTTTATCAACTGGCATAGGTTTCAATAACAGACTGAGTTCAGACTTGTATTAAAATAAATTGAGTGACAAGGAATCTCAGTGTTGCTTGACTTTAATTGTACAAGGTTTGTTTCTGATTTTTGCCATTTATCTATATCTATTATGATTTCAGGCATTTGAAGACATCCATGTASACAAGAAAGGAAAGATTAGAGCAGTGTTGGACTTTCTTGACAAAATGTTCACTTTCATCTTTGTTCTGGAGATGCTCCTGAAATGGGTGGCTTATGGCTTCAAGAAGTATTTCACCAATGCCTGGTGCTGGCTGGACTTTCTTATCGTAGATGTGAGTGCTGCCTTCACTCTTTCTACACAGGATTAGTAGCAGAATCCCTGATTATTTTCTGGAGGCAAATTCCAGACAGTGCTCTTACCTACCTCCGGTAGTGATGGTGCCAGGATATTGCACTCCAGGCACTGAAAGCATGGGAAATTTGATTTTGTTTGTTGGTTTGAGTTCTTTTAAAACAGAAATAAAGGAAACAAATGACATTGCTAATACTTTTCTTTTGTCTTCCCACTCAGATCTCTTTGATAAACCTGTTTGGAAGTGCCTTTGAAGCTGTGAAATCTCTTCGGACTCTGCGAGCCCTGAGACCCTTGAGAGCATTGTCACGGTTTGAAGGAATGAGGGTAAGACTGATTGCAAACTAGAGCTTGTCAGAGCTGATAAGCACATAACAGGTTTGTGACTCATCCCTGTGTCTTTCTGAAGTTCACATGTCTGCCCTGAGTTCAGTTTAGGAACTATAAAATGAATTTTTAAAGAAACCCTAGGTTCTGCTCTTCTGTTACTTGGGTGCTCCTTATAGACCTTCCTGGAGCAATTGATCCTAAATGCCATTGAAACTAAAACTRGCCTGGGTAGAACTTTGTTCCATTGCTGCTCAGTCATTCTTGTGTTCCTGTCTTGGTGAAATAGACAAAAATAAAATAGAGAATAAAAACTGGGAGCGCAATTATAATTTTTGAAGTCTGATAGCAAGCTGACTCAAAGGAGAATCACTTCAATTCTGAAAATTTTTACTGGATTGATGTACAAAAACTGTTGCCTGTTAAAAGGTACTTTGCTCAAACTATTGTTTTAAATAGACTTCTTTAAGAAAACAAATGTTTGTCTGTAGAATATTTGATGCAGTTTTTTTTCCCATCAAAGGAGCACATAGAACAGTGGACAAATCTACCATTGTACAAACACAGAGAGGGGTTCCCATAGCCATGCACAACCTGTGTGCTGCAATGTGAAACAGTGAGATAACCACAGTGGTATTTGGGCCAAAGTCTGGTCTGTGGGATGTGCTCTGGCATGCAAAAGGTGATGATACAAATGCGCATGGAGTCACTGTCACACACTTACACAAGCAATGGCTTTAAATTAATGGAAAAGAGACGTAGATTAGATGTAGAGAGAAATAGTTTCCTCAGGTTGCCCAGAGAAGCTGGGGCTGCCCCATCCCTGGATGGGCTCAAGGAGCTTGGAGCAATCTGGTCTACTGGAAGGTGCCCAAAGGCAGGAGGTTGGAACTGGATGATCTTTAAAGTCCCACCCAACCCAAACCATTCTATGGTCCTACTCATGCAGACTTCATGCAGCTGAGACATGAATTGCTTTGGGATGTGTTCTGGAACTGAGTCTGAAAAGCCTCTGATTGCAATATTGTCAGTATGAAGACAAAGAGAAATGGCATTAAACTAATTAATAGAGTGTATTAAAATGTCCATGTCTGGAATCAGTTTTGAAATTGAAACAGCTGAGTTTTCTGTCTTACTATGCAGAATGTATGTGACGTGGTCTCCAAAAAACCTTCACAAAGTCTTACAATTTTTCTGCTGGTCCATCAAATTTTTCTTTGCTGCTTCATAGATGAGTTCACTGCCTTCACTGTGAAACTTAAAGAAATGTTCCCACTGTTCCCTTACCCAATATTTTCTGAACCAATCTGTTATGTCTTAGCATACATTTAAAATCTGCAGGGACACTTTCTGTGGTTGAACAGCACGTTGCACAGCAAAAGTATCTGGCTCATGGTAATAGACCCCAAACACAATCATAATCCACTAAAAAATAAATGTAGGAAATTTCTAGTGGAAAATAGTTACTGGTCCTTTTAAAAATTACTTTTGACAGTTTTAAAAATAATCCACTGTACTAGCGGTCATGCATAAATATGTCAGAAATTTCATGTTAATAAAGCTTAAAACAGAGAAGCAAATGGACCAGAACCAAAGGAAARTCAAAAAAAGAGAGTCGACTCATGTTTTAGTAGTAGTAGGAACTCGCAGCAGACCAAGAAGTGCCAGCTATTGCTTTGAAAGCTTAATAGATACTGTAGACATTATTCAAGGTCCCCCTGCCAGCTTTGGCCAGTATTTACATGGAAAACATCAGGTTTTTGTTTGCAGAGTGACTGCTTATTGACATCTAGCCCATCCTTTTTGAAGTGTACTTTTCCTCTTCCTTTTCATCTGAGGTGGTGGTCAATGCTCTCGTGGGAGCCATCCCATCCATCATGAATGTCCTGCTCGTCTGCCTCATCTTCTGGCTCATCTTCAGCATCATGGGGGTGAACCTGTTCGCTGGGAAGTTTGCGAAATGTATCAATCAGACAGATGAAAATTACAATTTCAGTAACTTGATCGAGAACAAAAATGACTGTCGCAGGCATAATGACACCGGAAATCTATTCTGGGTCAACGCTAAAGTCAATTTTGATAATGTTGGTTCTGGCTACCTGGCTCTTCTTCAGGTGGTAAGTGCTCCTTGCCCTCACTAACCAGCCCCTTTTCAGATGGGCTTGACCTTTTGTCAACTCCTAACTCACCCCCAAAGGTGATGCAAGGAGTGAAATATCCTACAGCTTGCTCTGCCCTTGTAGCTGGCTGTTCATGCACACAAATGGGAAAAGGGGGACAGATGAGACCCCTGAGGTGATAAAGTAACATTAGGTGGGCAAGTGTTGTTGCAGCCTCCAGCAGTTTAATGATACTGAGAGCTGGAGTCCATCTCAGAAGGAAATCTGGGGCAAAAAGTGACGTATTGTGTCAAAACATGGATTTGCTCACCCATGAGGGTTGTCAGGCCTTTAGTACTGTGCTGATGAAGGTTTGCTCTGTCAGAATCCTAGGATACAAGAGTTCTGTCCCACCCTTGAAAGTTTTTATATCCTGAAGAGGCTGAGAACGCCTCACACACAGCAGCACCCAGAGCTCAGTGCTTTGCTGAACACAGCAAAGGCTCTTGCTCCAGTCAGAGTCATTTGGACATTACAAATTAGGTGAAGACTTTTAAGGTCAAAGCTCAACACATTTTCCATACTCTCTCATTTTCCAGGCAACATTTAAAGGTTGGATGGACATCATGTATGCAGCAGTAGATTCAAGAGAGGTTGGTCATTGTATTCAAACCATATTTTTTGTAAATCTTTCTGCAAACACATTAATTGTTTCTACATCTGCTTTTTGTCTGTGCTAAATACTATGCTTAATATCTTAATTTCATAATGAGTTCAAAGGAATAAAAGAATTTTAAAGTAGTTAATATTATAATATTGTCACTATTATACATGAAAATATAAATAAAACAATATTTAAATATGAAAATACTAGTAATAGTATTTTCATATATTGATATGTTTTTGTGTGTGTTTCAATGTTTTTCTTCTTTGTTCCTCAATTTGCAAAGTTGTTTTTCTTCTGATTTTGTTTCTATCCATATTAACCATSACAGTTTTTTGCTAAGAAGAGAAAAAAGAACAACATATCCAGGCCAAGATTTTTAATGGCAAGAGCTTGAAATTTGCCTTTACATAGTTTGCCTGATTTTTCATGTACTGAGACATTTACAGCTCCCGTTTTATAGGAAGGAACTGAACTGGTGCTTCTGAAATGCCTGCAAAAACCATGTCAAGGATATTCAAATAAAATTTGGTGTTATGCATCAATTTTTGAGCGGATCTCCAATATGAAAATTATTCTGAATTGGGCCCACGCTGTTGCTGGCTTTTTCTCAAGTTGCTTCTCTTTCTTTCAGAAAGATGAACAGCCATTGAGGGAGAACAGTCTGTATATGTATCTCTACTTTGTGATCTTCATCATCTTTGGATCTTTTTTCACCCTGAACCTCTTTGTTGGTGTAATTATTGACAACTTCAACCAGCAAAAGAAAAAGATGAGTATATTGGTTGTGCTTTGATCTTGAGCAATGCTGCCTTTAGAGAACAAGGTCTGAAACTTCTATTGGCATTTACCAGAGCATAAATAATTCAGTTACCAGAAATAACTCTCTCAGGGTGAGTTTCTTCCTCCTTTCTTTTCTCCTATAACCTGAACATCTTCCTCTTCCCCAAATATTTTGAAGCCTGTTAAATTTTCACTCCTTTTTGGGAACTGAGCATGACAGGAGACTCGTTATTCAGAAAGTGGTCTGCTACAGATGCTCTGATGAGTGTTTTTGGCACGTGGGAAGCCATGGAAAGATTTGTTCCTGCCCCATGTTTTTGTTTTTGTGCTTTTTGAGTGAGCTGAGTTTCACCCCAGGACTTCTGCTCTGTGAATGTCTGCTTTGTGCTGCTCTGATTCTTTGGACACAGTTACATGCTATGAAAAAGGATGGTATCAGCAAGATGTGAAAAAGGAAGAAATTCCACTTTCCAGAGTTTTAAACATTTGAAGTGCTATAGTATGGCTTTCTCACCAAATAACAGTGACATTTCTTTGTATACTTAGGGGGGGAAGATATCTTCATGACAGAAGAACAGAAAAAATACTACCATGCAATGAAAAAGCTGGGATCCAAGAGACCTCAAAAACCCATTCCAAAACCACTGGTAAGACTGAATTCTTCAAATGGAAAATGCGTAAAAGTGCAATTTAAACAGCTGAAAAGTGCATATGTTTATATGCTGCATACAAATTGTTTATAGTGTCTTTCCACTGTTACTCACACCGTGCTCTAAAGTCAGTTCTGCACCAAAAAGCTGACTGAACTATTTTATAGATTAAATATTTATTAAGTTCTCTGCATAAATATTATTGGGTTTTATATTTACCTTGAAATTGATAAAACTTCAGGATAGGAAGGGATTTTTAATRTCATTTTAAATGGCTCTGGCTTCCTGCAATTTCTCAGACTTCACTGTAGCTGAGTGACTTTGAGACATAAAAATTGAAGCTGTTGGAAACATGTACCGATGAATATTCCTTATTTTCATAACTGATGTCAGATGTACTTTTCTTCCCCTCTAGAACAGATACCAAGGTTTCCTTTTTGACATTGTGACAAGTCAGACCTTTGATATTGTCATCATGTCTCTCATCTGCCTCAACATGATCACGATGATGGTGGAAACCTACGAGCAAAGTGAAACGAAGACAAACGTCCTCAACAAAATCAATATACTCTTTGTTGCAATCTTTACTGCAGAATGTGTGCTGAAACTGCTGGCTCTGAGGCAATACTATTTCTCAAATGCCTGGAACATATTTGATTTAGTTGTTGTTATCATGTCACTTGTTGGTAAGTAAAATTGTTTGGCGAATTCTTTACCAGGTCAATGATTATTCTTTTCAGGAAAAAAAAAAAAAAAGTAGTTGAAACTTATTAACCGGAAATAGTCATTGAAATGTAAGTTTTATTTACTGTAAAATCTTAAGGAAAAAATAAGCAAGCCCCCCACCATGATTATATTAAATAATATTAAATGTGATTTAAAAAAATGTTTTAGTAGAAGTGTGTGTACATTTGTAATGTTTCTTTAGATTTGTTGTTTTTTTTTTTTNTTTTTTTGCTCATCTGAAATACAGAATAAATAACTCATCACAGTAGTATCACATTATGTGGTAATTTCTGTTGYCACAGATTTAATGCCAATTAAGAAATCTTCAATCAGACCAAATTGTTGGGTTTTGTCTACTGTGTTATTGACACATGACTGAAATATATATGGAAATAGGAATGCTGAATATAAATAGAAAAGAAAGACTGGAATTAGATTATAGCCTATAGAATTCAATTTCTGTAAATTCGGGTGCTGCTGATTATAAATAAGGGTTCACATTGTATAGCAGGATGGAAAAGGTGACCAAAAATGTATTAGTTTTTATCTGAAGGCATTAAAATTGAATGAAATTAAGAGTTCTATTGCAAATTTGAGCTTTCTGCAAGTTTAGTTATTCCTAGGACCAGCCCTGCCAACTAGCAACAGGCATTTAGGGGAAGAAAGGTATTTCATCACTTTAGCATGGCTTATGTGTAGGGTAAGTAAGATTCCAATAAGACTATGTCTTTTTCATGAGAAATTAAGTTTCTGGATTGTAAATCCAGAAAAACGTATTCAAAACCCCTACACTTAGAGAAGACAAGCCTCTTCTAGCGCTACTAGGTGTCATTTTTTTCATTCAAAGAAAAAAATCCATGTATGGCTCTGTCCCTGAATGAACCAAAAGCCACTGTAGAGTGGCAAGCACAATTTGTGTTCATCATCTGTTTGCTCATACATATCTTTCCTGTGTTATCTAAATGATAACCTTGATATTGTATTGTACCTTGTTTTCCTGGTTTAGCTTTGTAGCGATAGCATTTGAGAACAAATGTAGAAGGAACCTGAACCTGCTGAAATATTCACGTAACCAGAATCAAAGAAAACCATCAGTCACCAAGTGTCAGCTGATACAGATATTTGAATCTGTGCACAGAAAGTTCCTTGTCATCTTTAGTGCATCAGGGACTGTCCTCTGATGGCTGAACAACGTAGCTCATAATTACTGATTTCCACAACTGTTTTTTTAATTCAGCTTCTGCCAAAAGTTGTTCTGGTAGGCCACACACACATCAGGTATTTTTGAGCTGTGAGGATATTATCATCCCAGCCTCCTTACTAGTTAAGCAAAAATGTAATATTCTAACCAGTTATCATCCTTCCCTTTTCAGCTTTACTGCTTTCCAGCATCGGCAAAGCCTTTGAACATTTCTTACCACCCACACTCTTCAGGGTCATTCGCTTGGCCCGGATTGGGCGAATACTGAGGCTCATCCGGGCAGCCAAAGGAATTCGAACTCTCCTGTTTGCCTTAATGATGTCCCTGCCTGCTCTGTTCAACATTGGTCTCTTGCTCTTTCTGGTCATGTTCATTTATGCCATTTTTGGCATGGCTAACTTTGCCTATGTGAAATTGGACGGTGGCATTGATGACATGTTCAACTTCCAAACCTTTGGTAACAGCATGCTCTGTCTCTWCCAAATTACCACATCAGCTGGCTGGGATGGCCTTCTCAGCCCTCTTTTGAGCACTGGACCACCATTCTGTGACCCAAACATAAACGGTACGGTGGGTGAATGTGGTAAACCTGCCATAGCTATTATTTATTTTGTAAGTTACATCATTATATCGTTTCTCATTGTTGTRAACATGTATATAGCTGTAATTCTGGAGAACTTCAATGTTGCCACTGAGGAGAGCACAGAGCCTTTAGGGGAAGATGACTTTGACATTTTTTATGAGGTCTGGGAGAAGTTCGATCCTGAGGCAACTCAGTTTATAACKTTGTCCGCACTTCCAGACTTTGCAGACGCTCTGACTGGGCCCTTGCGTGTACCAAAACCAAACAAATTAGAACTCATAGCAATGGACCTGCCTGTGGTCAGTGGGGACAAGATACACTGCTTGGATATCTTGTTTGCTTTCACCAAGAGGGTACTGGGAGATTCTGGGCATCTGGACACTCTGAAAGTACAAATGGAGGAGAAATTCATGGCTGCCAATCCGTCAAAGCAATCCTACGAGCCAATATCGACCACGCTCAGGCACAGGCAAGAGGAAACRTCGGCCGCGGTGATCCAGCGCGCCTACAGGAGCCACGTGCTGCGCTCCCTCAAGGAGACTTCCAGCCTGCAGCCTCGCAGAACTTGCAACACGGACACGCTGGGAGATGCTGCTCCAGAAAACCAAGGACTCATTGCGTCCACGCTCTGTGCAAACTATGACAGGAGTCCCAGCAAGTCCGAAACTTCGTCCTTGGTGTCCATCCCTCCGTCGTATGACAGCGTCACAAGGGAGAGTAGCGGCAATCTCCTGGCTGAGAATGGAGAAGTGGCAGGCACTCAACAATCTCCAGACATTAAGTAGTTAATGGGTGATGAAGTTGTTAAGAATATTTTTAAATTTTCACAGAAGATGGTATTGTAAATACATGTCAGCTGAGGCAGCCTCCCTATGAAAGCAAGYCTGCTGATGGTGATCAGTTAATTATGGCAGCTGGAGAATCGTAGAATTTGGCTCTGCTGTGTTCTGTTTTTTCAATATTTACCTGTTCAGAGAAAGGTTTTGGGTCTGTTTGATCAAGGGCATCTCACTACAAAGCAGGTCCCACAATATTTGAATGCTGTGACATGTTCACAGCAGTGATAGGCAACTTCAGCTGATATTTCCTCTGTACAGGAAGCAGAGAAAAGTCCAAGCACCAATAGATCTACTGGGAAACACCAAATGAGTGTCAATATGAGTATAAATTAGGGAATGGAAAGGAGCTAAAATGTATTCCCTTCCTAATTGAAAGCATCATTCTAAACCTGTTTAAAAAAGGCTGCTGATTTTTTAATTTTTTTTTTTAATGTTTGGGGACAGATGTGCCACAAACATAGACCCTGCATGATCCACAGCTATTCCACAGTGTAGTGGATTTCTTCTCATRTGATCAGTTTTCAGAATAAACCATGGCATGTATGTTATCATAGTTGTGTAAYTGAAGTTTAATGAAATATTAACTACAACCCTTAGTATTACAGAAGTCATACTGAGCAGAGCAAAACCTTGTTTTATGTTTTGCCTATAGGATTTTTTTTTTTAAAACCTGGTTTGCTCTGGCAGTGAGGCGAAGGCAGCTGTGCCATCACTCGTCCCATAACWAATTGTGTTTACTGCATACTTTCCTCAGACTTCACCTCATGGTTAAGTTTTGTGTTTAAATTCATTCCTGACAATGTCGTAGAGAGACACAAATAAACATTTCCACTCACATTTTAGTGTAAGATGCTTTTMATTTTTCTTAGTTGCAAGGTTGCAGCTGGGTGATCACTGTTGGGATTGGCAAGTTCTGGCAAGGCTCGGRTGAGCTTTTCCCTCCACACTGATTTAATCCAGAAAAGAGCCTGGATTTCGTGACCAAGTGGGACCTGCACTTGTTTGCAACCTGCAGCAAGTTTTCGTCTCTCTTGAACACCCTTCTCTAAAGTAAAAGTTATATTCTTATGTTTTGTGTCACTTTTTTCTTCTGTCTTTTCCACCGCTTCAGATTGTGAGCTTTTTAGACAGAAATTCTCTTTTACTACAAATGGTAAATTATACCTAATAACAAGACTCTGTTKTCAGTTAATGTTGTCTGAAGACTGATGCAAATAAACAATATTTATAGTACCTTTTAATTTCGTCTGTGTTATTCCCTTGGCTTCTCCCTAGCCATTCCTGGAATTGTAGCAACTTTAATTAGGTTTGWCTAATATTCCCTCAGATTTTAGGGTAGATGCACAATGAATCTGTACTGTACCAGAGAAGTCAACAGCTCTGTGCCTTTGGAACCCAGGGGATCCATTCCTCCAAATGAAAAATAAATCTAACAACTACAAAAAGAACTAATGATATTAAACGGTATAGTAAAAAATATTTTTCACCACTTCCACAGATTGTGAACAACCAGAGTTGAGGAGCTTAAAGACCACCTCATTCTGCCTTCCTGCCATGGGCAGGGACTCTTTCCACTATCCCAGGTTGTTCCAAGCCCCATCCAACCTGGCCTTGGACACTTCCAGGGATGGGGCACCCAGAGCTTCCCTGGGCAACCTGTGCCAGATCCTCACCACCCCTACAGCAAAAAAAAAATCTTCCTTTTGTCCAAGCTGAACACATTCCCATTTAAAACCATCACAAAATGTCTGTCTCCATCTTTCTTATAACCCCCCTTTATGTAATGAAAGACCACAAGAAATTCTTCCAAGCCACAACAAAATCTCAACCATTTCAGAGATAAAATTCTGCACATAAACACAGTAGTCAGAAAAAAAAAAAACCCTTTAGAAATAAATAATCCCACAAATCCTTCTGGTTCTCCTTGGAGCCTCTTAATTTTGGATTCTAACATTGCCCTTACAAAGTTTTAGTTTCCTGTGATGGCTGTGTGACACAGCCTTGCTTCCAGATGGATTGCACTGCCTTTTGGTCATACAGAGCAATATTTCCTGTGATTGTAGTCATTATTTTAGCTAGGCTACATTAACAGGTCTCTTCAACACTTACATCTTCCATAAATTGTATATGACTTAAAATTTTACCCCAAATTATTGCATTTTTAAAGGGTTTATTAATAGAGACAATAAAAAATTGAAGCCTGAGAGCTTTTCCCTTTGACAGCTCATGAGAAACACCAGCTCAACAATGAGATGTTTCTGTTTGTTCCTTTGATAGTGATGTGGAACAATAAATACAACGAGAAATGAGAGAAAAATGAGAATTCCAGAACAATTGAACCTCTCTCTAGTGGGCTTCATTTCACCACCTAAAGCCACACATTTTTCATAAAAAATCAAAATAAAGGAAAATCCTTGAATATTTACAAACCAGTCAAAAGGTTTAAAGGGGGTARAAAAAATAGAATAATGAAACTTATGAATAAAAAGCTACTTTCTACAGCAATATTTTCTTCAGGACCTGCAGCATAAACTAAACTGACTTTACCATTGAGATTATCATTAAGTCACATATTGAAGCATATGAATAATTTAGTTCAGTTTTTCTCAGCTCTTGGGCAAATTGAAGGAGATGCACGATATGAAACTCCAGTTGTGCTTGAAAGAAAAGTGACCATTTTTCCTCCGGTCCACCAGAGACTTTTGCAATTCAGGAGTTGTGAATTAAAACTGGATCATGTGCTGGGAAGCAATGCTAGGATGAATGATAATCTGTGATGTGAGAAGAGGTTCAAGTTTAGTTACTCAGCCTAGAAATGACAGCTGAGAKGGTGCATTGTAACTCTCAGTAAATAAAGCAGGCGGGAAAAGATGAGGAAGGGAGGAAAATGTTGAACAGACAAATAGTCAGGAAAAAAWTAACTTTTAATTTAAAGTGGCTTGTGTTCTTCAGGGGATGGAGTCATAAAACTGTTTGTAGCCAGTTTGACTGGAAGGTAGTTACACATATCTKCAAGGGATTATGTCCCACAGCACTCTCACGGGGGTCTGTAACTCACCAGGTTGCTAGGTTCCTGCTCAAAACTGTTTGAATTAAATAAAATTAATACTGAGATCTACATCTGGACAGGGAAACTTGTTGAATGCTTCCTCCTAGTGGTTTTTGATCAAAATGACATATTCAAAGTGAAATTAAAAAAAAAAAAGAGGAAAGTGGGGGTCTCTGTCTCAAGCATAGACAGTGAAACATGAACAGAAAAATAACTTTTGGAAAAAGTATTAGCAACAAACAGAAATCTTATAGGGAGTGGAAGGAGGGTTGTGCTAAAAGAAAGCTGCAGTTTAAAGTTCAGAAAATGAGTGGTGAGAATTTCCAGAGTAAAAGAGAATTAGACCACAAATAGGAGGCTGAAACACAAATACAGACATCATTGGCTATATAAGAAAGGAGAAGAAAAAGTAAAGAAATTGTGAGCTTGATTTAAAATGGCGCAGGGATGAGGTTTTGGGTATTTTTYAATTTCATCTATCTAATAAATATATTATAAATATCAGGTAAATAATCTCCTTAATTTGCACTGAAGACTATTATCAATATGGGACCATATTTTCCTTGGCAAACAAGAAGTGCTTGAATGGAAATGTGAATAAATCTATGGATGGACACAGAAGGGAATTAAAACAACCGAGTTGGGGCCAGAATAACACCTTTTCAAAAATTCTGTTGAGAACTGGCACGTGAACCTGCAGATCTCTCATTAATTTTCTTAGAATCTGTCAAATCAGGAAAGGTAGCAGGAGACAAAAACATCCACAAAATCCAAACTAAATGTAATACTTGTATTTGAAAGGCATATAACAAGCAGTTCAACCAGAGACTTGCTAATCTGAATTAAATATGTTATGGGGCTGTGGGACACATTTTGSAGGGGAAATAATGAAAGATTTGAAGGAAAGTAGAAAATGGAATAAAACAGGTTTGAAACCTATTTATTAAGAAATAAGAATGTGGCAGACCTTATCTCCTGGTATGCTGAGAAAATGAAGTGGGGCAGAGCATTAGGGGCCAAATGGGGACATTTGCTTCCAGGTGATGGAAACAGCAGATCTGGATCAATTACTGAAACAGAAGGGTTGGGATGTGCAACATGGTGCAATCATGGAACAGAGAAATGCAGGTGAAGATCTGTCAGCTGAGACACAGCCCATGGAGGGCACGTGGTGCTGAGGCAAAGGAAGGTGAGGCTGCAGCTCTGCACACATTGGTGCATGATGCTGATGGAAGATTTGTATGAACCAAACAAGATTTAAAGGGTTTCTACAATAGACATGGAATTAGAAAGTCTCTAGAAAGAAATCTGGAGCCCTGGCTTGTTCAATCCTACAAAATAAAGTCGAGAGATGTGACTGTTCCTGAGAGGGGAATAAATGCCAGTGAGGGTTAAAGTAGAGTTTAGAGCAAGGTTTATTTTGGACAGAGTCTGCATCAACCACACTTTTTCCAAAGTCTCCAAAGGGTGTGCAGTTTGCAGTTTCCCTGTGGTGAGTTTTCCCTGTGGAAGCTTTCTGTGACCCCAGAAATACCGGCCAGACCTCTTGCACACAGGAGAGGTGGAAGATGCACGTGGAAAATATTTTGTGAGTTGTACTCTATTGGTCTTAAACCACAATTCATCCCACAACAGAAAGATCAAATACTCCCATATGTGTTTGTCTTATCCCATCAAATTGATTGAAATGGTCCCTAACCAGAAAGTGGGAAGGTATTTTCCATGTTGCCACTGAAAGGAACTGGAARGGCAGGTCTAAATGCTGACAAATATCTCAAAGGTGGGTTTGGCTGTATTTGACTAAAGTAATTCCTTCTGCCAGGGTTACAGCTCTTGACCTGAAGAAATCAAGAAGGAAGTTTACCACCTGGTAATTATTTTCCCAGTTAATCAGCCT